GATAGGTCGATTTTTCCATAGGAAGCTATAGGGGAAAATGGGTATTTTTGCAGTAACTCAGGAACGGCTTGGCCGATCCTTCTCATCTTCGAACTCGACCGAGATATTGTAAAGACTGAACTGTATAGAAAATTTCATCGCGATCGGACTCTCCTTTCAAAAGTTATCGTGTTAACGGCCGGACGGACACACTGACCGATTCTAGAGTGTACTCACTTTTTTGAGTACACAACAATAAAATACAGAATCAACAAATTTTGAACATTTTTTTATTTATCTATGTATGATCAAAATTTTGGCTACAGTAAACATAGTATAAATATATATATACATATTTTTTTTTTTTGAAAATTATGTTGTATGTTATTTCTAACACAAATATAGATATAAGTCAAGTTTTGACAAAGGAATTTTGAGTGTGTGCGTGCAAGCGAAAGAAACGATATCTACATTTCATCCTCACATTTACAGAATATCTATATTCGATTGCTGAAAGAAAAATTCATTGTGATCAATCCCAAAGATTCTACAATTAATAACAAATCTCATCTTTATTTTGGTCATATTCTAACTGAATTTTTAATATTTTTATCAAATGCATCATATCAGAGTATATGTATTCATGTCATCTTAGTCAATCTGCTATCTTGTCTTTGAATGTAACGCTTAGAAAAATTTGGGCAATAGTCTTTTATGGGTATTAGTCAAATACAGATGAAGAACGAAACACAATAATCCAAGATAGTATTGAAAAAAAGAATATAAAAAGCTTTAAAATACTTCAATCGGAAATGATTATAAAGATACAAAACTTTATTTTATATTTAATCTTCTTAGCATATATATGTCGTTGGATTAAACATTAAAGAAAATTATATACTTTTTAACGATACAGATCAACAAGATCAATTAGTAGCTGTCGAAGTCTTGTTACCATACATGAAATTGAATTGTACATTCTCATTGATTATGAATCATTTTCTCATCTAGCTTACAAAACTAAAATAGAACAATGTATAATAAATTTTTTGCATTGAAGAATTATTTTAATATTAGTACACATGAAAATTTTTCGTTCTCATTATCTATGTCGAGTTCGAATCTTGTAGAATTAGTCAATGATTTTTATGCAATTATTAAAAGAGATAATCATCAATTTAGCATCGATGTATCAATTGAAACAAAGTTATTTTAAGTTGGAAAAAATATTTTGACAGAAGAACAAACAATAAACATTAAATAATATTATTTTTCATGTTTCATTAACAAATTCATATAATTAATATGAAAAGCTTTGAATTATTTTCAACAATGCTCTTCCTTATATGAATTGAATAGAATAAAAAGCATGTCATTTACTGGAATCTTGACTGAAATAGAAACACATTCAAATAAATTTTCTTATTTCTCTTATCATACTGCACTTCTTCTAATTAATTCAAATATATGGTCTATTGAGCTTGCAACTATTGTATCTAATCTTTTATGTAGTGACAATGATCATTATTTTCGTCAAAAAGTTGAAATTATATGCCGATCATCAAATGAATATAATGTTCAAACAAGTTCAAAATTAAGTATCGAGATTTTATCAACTTTACTTAAGAAAAAAAAACAAATTCATTATCAATTAATAACTTCAGCATCTACATCTGGGTTATTTGCTCAAAAATATAAATCTTGATGTTCAATCTCATCTAGAGACATATATAGAGTGCATGCATTGAACAATAAAGAATATTTCTTTAATAAATTAAGATCATCAAAAAATTGTTATGTAACTTCATTTTTTTTTAAAAACTGATATAGCAATAAATGCTTGCCCATATACACAAATTCATTTCGACTATCTAATGATATGATAATATATATGTGTGATATGATTGCATCGAATTTCTTTTCATTTCGAGAGATCGATAGAGATAATTACAACATCAAATGTAGTTTCAAAAAGTCATTAAATTTATTATTTCAATACTTTTAAATATCATATAGAATTTAGTCGCATTCTTCAAGATACATCATTTCTACTTGGAAATCTTAGTTTTGATTATATGGAATATTATCATGCATGGATCAGATCAGCAACATTTTAGTATATTTAAGATGTTCAAAAGAAAATAGTGAAAGTGCTATCATAAAGTTAATCAAAGAACATTCAACTCTCTTCTATCAATCTTTATGATCGAACTATATAATTAGATTTGCAATTTTACGAACAAAATAATATCAATGGTAGCATCGCTGATTTTAATTACCATATGTATGTCCGCAATGTTTTATGCTTTTATTAAAGATTAGAGCGATGAAGATAATTTGAAACATACATTGTTTTATGCGATTAAGCAACATAATTTTATACAGCGTTCAGCTTGCTTAACAATTCTATCACTATTGAATGAGTTAACAGTTGATTCGTGTGAAATGTTTACTGAAGTTGTACGTGATGATCGAACTGTTTAAAACAATAGTTATGAATGTATAGAATATACATATATTAATACAATTAAAGATGAGAATGTCGTTTTAAATCTTTTGTTATATTATTTGAAATCAAAATCAATGAATGTTTGGTATATTACAATTAAAATATTTTTGTATCTTTCTCCATTATCTTTTATTCCATTTAAACAATGCTGATTCATTGAAAAAAAATGTTATTTATTCACTTTTAATTCAATATGTAACTGGGTATATAGGTAACAATGTTTGAAGAAATGAATTCAATGATATTGATTTAGATTTTACTGAATCTACAAAAGCATCTTGCTTCGCTTCATGTATCTATGAGACAAAAAAAAAAAAACTGAAGACACTATGAAATAAAGAACAAAATAAATTATTTACTTTGTTAAAATGATAATTTTATGCACAATTTATTTGTTTTTAAACATATGTTTCATGAAAGAAAAAGACAGAAAAACATGTTAATTTACTGAACAATTTATCTTTTCCGTATAAAATAGAAGTAAACATTTTTTTTTTCATAGTAAAACGATTCTCAGATTGTCTACGGAATGAAAATAACAATCGGAATAGTGTCCAACGACAGTGAATCTGTTTATAATAAAAAGAAATTTTGGTTTAAACCTATAGAAAGTGATGCTAGGGATCTATTAATCGTGAACTGTCAGAAATCAGTTAGGTCTTGGCTACGGTGGTTTTCAGTTGATTAATAAAAGGAAGTAGAAGTCAAAATAAATGATTTCACACTTAATAATTATGGTAGATCTACATACAGCAGAATGAATGATATTAGAATCGAAAGTCCACAGCAGACTTGTCGATTAGAAGACGGATGGAAGCCTTCTTCTCTTCCTTCCGCAAAATTGAAAACATCTCCGATTTTCGGACAAATTTTTCAAAATCTTATGATTCATTTTGACAGAACGTCAATTTTTGAGCATTTTTCGGCATTTCTTTCACAGGAAAGGAATAAAAACATTTGTTTTGTTAACGAAATCTTGCAGAAAGTCCGTGAGCGCAACATTATTTGTTCAAGTTCGATCAGAGTATGGATGTGAGTCTTCTTTCTACACACACCAACATTCACATCCTTCTATATCTTTCACATTATCATTTAATCGAATTTTCTGAAATGTTCTGTCTACGCACTGTTGTCTAAATGATATGTTATATGGCAGGATAGTTATCGTTCGATTAATTAAAGCAAAGAATTACATTTCGATTAAAGTAGAAAATTTTTCTTCTCTTGGTCATCATAAGGATATTTATATCTCTCGATCGTCATTCTCAGATTTCTTACGCTAATTAACGTACCACTTTTGAACATTGTATTTCGATCTTGGATGTCTGAAGACAACAGTGTGGAAATATTTTGTCTTTCATTCACAGCAGCATTCTTAACTCGTAATAAGATGAGAGCAAAACATCCTAGATATATCTTCAGTCATGCATTATATTTGCCTATTCTCTTTTCATTAATTCTATTGATTTATTTAATAATTTTATTTAAAAAAACTTAATTATCAAATGATTTATTTACCGATTTTTTTTTGATGAGGAGAAAAAGAAAATGACAATAAAATAATGATATTAATATTGGCTCATGAGTATTATCGTGTACTTGAAAATTCGTTGTTTTCTTCAATAGAATTCATTTTTCTTTTGTACTACCAGTTGTAAAAACAATTGGATTCATTTGATCATTGAATATATTTTTTCGTGAAGGGTGTGGAGTGTGGGTGTGAGTGTGTGTGGGTGTGGGTGTGGGTAGAGGTCTTCTATTCTCTTGCGCCCACACCCACCCCCAACCTTATGTCCTTATAGTCTTACGTCCCTTGTACCTCTTGTAGCCTTATCTCTTTTTGTCTTACACCTTCCAGAGCCTATGGGTATCCTATAGGACGGCTCTTAAAGATCCATGGATGCCCTCATATAATTGCTCTTGAGGACCTATGAGTACCTCTATATAATAGGCCGGGAGGACCTATGGGTACCTCTATAAGATAGACCGTGAGGACTTCTCAATATCTTTATAGCATATTATCTATGAACCGATGATGAATACTAATTAAGGTGAGTATTAATTGTGGTGAATAATAATTAATTTGAGTATGTTTTTAGCAATTACAAGTTATTTTATCAGTCAAAGATGATCTTGATATCGCATTTCATAAAACATGGACTGTATGCCTTGAGTAAAATATGGATACGTATGTGAGCTCCAAATTTAGAGTTTACATGCAGAGTTTATTTATTTATTTTTTGACCAGTATATTACAGTAAAATACCATCGTATCGAGGTCGTATTTGAAGTCGATATTCATCGACCTAGGTAGCTTAGCTTTGCTCCTTTCTTACCATTTCCTGTGATGATGACAATTGTGAACTATCAAAAGCTTGAAATGTAAAATAATTTTTGCAAGAAAATTTTAAAAAATTATAATCTTCGTCGAAGTTCTTTACTCAGTTATATCAAAGATGATCATGTTTACTGATGTAGGAATACACTTTATCAAGCATCACATTGATCAATTAAAACTTATTAATTACAAATCTTTGATCTCAAAGCTTGCTTTTAGAATTCGAACTAATTTTGTACTTTCTTCTGTTCAGAAATCTATACTACCATTCAGTACTCAATCAAAGTGTAAATACGTACTATTAATGAAATGATAGTTGTTTACCTTACTACACGTGAACTTTGCTATAACTAAATATTATATAGATTAGCTAGAATGGGCGATTATCCTGTAGTTTATTTATTTTTTATTCATTCCCTAAAGCGAAGAATTATTTATGTTAAAATGCATTCATTTGTTTAACTCTTCTATTGACTGCGTTACCAGATGTCACTTGCCTTAACATGGTTTTTCAGTCCGTTAAAATGCGTTAACAACAGTTAAACGCATTGAAACTCGTTCATTCCTTGCATTTGTCGATTGAGCAGGTTATCAAGGATTGTTTTCTTCTTTTTTTTCACCATCAATGCGTTACAACAGCATTTTTAGCATTTCTTTGTTTGCGTATGAACATAGAATTTATCATGGCAATCTGTCATAAGAAGGAAATTGCGGTAACTTCATTAAAATGAATGAACACAATTAAAGAACAAACAAATATTTTCAATCTTTTCATGCAGTAATGAAGAAATCACTCGCAAAAGAACTTATGTAATAAAATAGACTTACAGTTTTGCATGACGAATACTTTTTGAAAATATCAATAGAATTAAAAATAAATCGATTGAACACGATATCTATTCGATCATGAACTACATATAAAATATTGTTTGTTTACATGTTTCATATCGTGATGTTGTTAATTTTGCTAATTGATTTAAATCATTGTCGATTAGAAATAGTTGCTACTATTGCCAAATGCTTATTTCCGTTTTAGTCAAAGTTTTCGACATGCTATTTGTTTAATTTCTGTCTACTCTGAAGTCGACACTTGTTACGTGTGTTCTGCTTTCTTTTCTTTTAAATAGTTCTCTATTTATGTGAATTAATCATCTTTGTTGAGGTTTCTCCAAGGTGAATACAAGTAAAATGTCAATATTTTAATTCTGTCTTGACATGTTTATTTAATGAATCCATCATTGTAAACAAATTCTACACTATCTATCATTATTCATAAAAAAAAATGGAATCGTCATATCAGATGGATATGTTACGTGGACGATGTCAAGAACTTCCAGAAGTACGGTCAAAAGTCGTACGTGTCTTTGTTAGTTCAACATTTTCAGGTAGAGAATATTGTAAATTTGTATTGAAGAAATATCATAGTATGTTTTTTTTTTCTTTTTATATAGACACACTTAGCGAACGAGATTCATTAATTGATAGTGTCTTTTCAAAATTAAAAGATTATTGTCGTGAAAAATATGGTCTTGAATTTCAAGTTAGTATAAAAAAAATTTATATCTATTTTTTTTCTTTTTTAATTTCTTATAAGTTTCATTTTACCATTATTCGAAGTATTCGGATATGCGATGGGGCATTGAAAATGAATCAGCCGATAATCATAGTGAAGTTGAAACTTGTCTTAATGAAATAAAATTATGTCAGAAATATTCAGTGGCTACTAATTTTGTGGTTTGTTGAATCTTTCAATAATCGGTTAATTCTTACAATCTAAGATATTGTTTTACATCTTCACAGGTTCTATTAAGCCATCGTTATGGTTCACGACCAACACCAGCTACTATTCATGCATCACTTTTTGAACAACTACAACGAATCATTCTTTTCGATTTGAATTTAACCGAAGATGCTGAACTACTTTCTCAATGGTATCAACTAGATACGAATTGTATACCATCTGCTTATATTCTTCGTCCAATTTCGTCAATGTTACCAAATATAAAATCAACAGTATGATATGACTGTCAATTAGAATTAATATCGACAAGAGTGTGTTTTTTTTTGTTCTCTTTTAGGAATTAAATGAAATGAAAAAAGCTGCAAAAGAATGGACAAAAATAAATAATCGTATTCGAACATGTTTGCGACAAGCAGCAGCCAAATGTTTCGAACAAGGTCAAATCAATGCAAATGAATATGATGATTTTTTTATATCAGGTAAATTTCTATGTTTATTATATTTAATATTTTTCTTTCTATATTAATAATTATAGTTACTGAAAAGGAAATAATCAATGGAATTCTATCAGTACCCAATGCTAATGAACGTACTTTATGTTTTCTACGTGAAATTGATGATATTTATGATCATTTATTAGATAGTAAAGCATCGAGATTTATTGATTTAAATTATTCTGATGATGGAAAACCTATTATTGATTATGAAGCTGAACAATTACTCAATCGTTTGAAATCTACACGTATTCCAAATGTATTACAATCTAATAATATATATTCATATAAAGTACATTGGAAACAAAATGGTATTAATCGACATGATCATGCTGAATATATATCGAAATTTAATGATGATTTCTACGATGCAATAAAACAACAAATAGATAATTGTGTTAAATCACGTATTATGATTATTTCTGGTCCATTACAACATGAAATATTAGAACATGCTATACAATGTAAAACATATGTAGCTAAATTTCATGGTCGAGCTGATGTTCTAGATAAAGTAAGATATTTACCAGAATAATTGTTTCATTCTTTTTTTTTTTTTTTTCTATGGAAATATATCTTTTATTTCTATTAGTTAGAAAAATATATTAAAAATGAAAAGGAAAATCGACCATGTATTGTATATGGAGCATCTGGTTGTGGCAAAACAAGTGTACTTGCTAAGGCTGCAACTGAAGTATGTATATGTATATATATATAAACAATGTACAATTAAAAATTAATTGTTAACTTTTATTTATTGTAATTTTAGGCATTGAATTGGTGGTCTGATCGAGCTGTATCAGTTATTTTACGCTTTCTTGGGTATGTTTGAAATATTAATCTTAAATATGGATACTTTTGACCAAATAAACAAAAACTCTCAGTATATTCTCTTGAATAAAAATAAGAAAAATCTGTTCATTTAAAATCCAATTATAAATATATTCTTATGATTATATTAATGTTTGTTTTTATATTTATATTTAATAGTACAACACCGACTTCATCTACCGTCTACAAAACTATACTTTCTATATCTCAACATATATGTAAATTATACAATCTATCAATGGAAATCTATCCTGATGTATTACAATTACGTCATCAATTAGAAACTAATCTATTAATACGTATACCAGCTAATGAATATCTTGTTCTATTACTTGATTCAATCGATCAACTCGAACCAGAAGCATATGATTGTCAATGGTTAGTTGGAACATTTCCACACAATGTCAAATGTATTGTATCAACTATACCTGATCATGGTAATATTTTAGCACATTTAAAAGGAATTATTAATTATAATCAGTTATCACCAAATGAAACAGAACATTTACTTGTTAGTGTTCCATCATTTGAAGTATCAACAGTCGAAATTGTCTATAATGATTGGCTTGCAATGAAAAAACGTTCATTAAGTGATGAACAACGTTTATTTATTCGTGATTTAATGAAAGAACGTGGCGAAATTCTACCTCTATATATGAAACTTATGTTTGATATTATTTTAACATGGCATTCATATGATTCAATCAATGTCGAATTAAAAAAATAAAAAAGTGTCGATGATTGTATTCGTTATCTATTTCATCATTTGGAAAAAGTTCATAATCGTCTTTTATTCATTCGTGCTATATGTTATATGACAGCATGTCGTAATGGTATCAGTCAAAATGAACTTGAAGATGTACTTTCACTTGATGATGAAGTACTTGCAAGTGTTTTTCAACATTATATACCACCTGTTCGACGTTTACCTGGCATCTTATGGACAAGAATTCGAAATGATTTAGATGAATATATTACAGAAAAAGAAGCTGATGATTCGTCAGTCATCTTTTGGTATGATTAATACTATAATATTCAGTTAAGTTTAAAGATGAAGCATATTTTCAAGTCATCCTTACCATTTGAGTAAGCATATTTCATACAAAAAGAAAATATAACATAAGACATACTATGAATCACCATGATCTGAAAAGTTCTAGGATTCGTTTAGTAATTGAGGATATTATAATAAAAATTCAAAGATCAATAAAAATTCATTTTCTTTTTTCAATAAAAATCAAATATATAACAGTACTCCATGATATTAAATGTTCGTATCAAGTATTCGTAGAACATTGCATTAGAAGAATTGATTCCCCAATATGTTAATAGACATGTGAGCGTTTTAAATGAATATTCTCTTCAGTATAGAACTCAATATATTCTGTATGTATGTCCTTGATTATATAAATATTACGTAGGTACCATCGTCGATTTATTGAAGTTGCAAGTGCTGAATATATTTCAAAAATGAATTCTAAAGAACGAGAAGCTGTTTTTCAAAATATGGTTGATCTATACAAAGAAACATGGAAAGGCAAAAGTAAACCATTCAAAATAAATGATCCAAAGTTACTCAATAAGTATAATTTAAATGAATCAAATGGTGAAATTCAAGCAAATCGTTTTACAACTTCACAACCAATCGAATTCGTTGATGCTAATGGTCGTATTCAATTTAACAGAAGAAAATTGAATGAATTGCCTCAATTCTTGAGTCAATTAACAGCAAATTTAGCAACGCCAATTATTGCTCAAGAAATAGTTTTCAATTATACATTTATGCGTAAAGTATCCATTTTATTAATAGAAGAAAAATAGAAAAGCAACAATAATAACAATTTCTTCGTAAATTATAATAATATTGTTCTATTTTAGGTGCTAAGATTGCATGTGCAACATTCAGTGATATTATTAATGATTTTCAAAAGTTCACTGAGTTATCATCGTATAGTTTATCAGACGAAGTCAAAGCCATAAAATCAGAGATTAAGATTTTTTCCATGCTCTATTTGATTGTGGGCATTCAACTTCAACAATATCCGGAGAATTTTGCTTTTGAAGTATCTTCACGTCTGTTAAGTCTATTTGGTATTAAGCCATTTATTACTAATCTTATCAAACAAATCGATGAACAAAGTGTTCGATATTGTTCTTTAATTGTACCTTACTGTCAACTTCAATCGCCGGGTAGTGGATTAATCTTTTCAATGAATCGACATACAACATCTATAGTAGATTTTGATTTTACAGAAGATCAAATGAAAGCTATAACTCTTTCAGACAGAATAATTGTCATAGATATGGGAGAAGTACGTACAGTTTTAGATATCAACCTGCCGAACTTAGATGAACCATATTTGAATTCCACTACATTACCAGAAACATATACATTCGATGGAAAAAATGAAATAAAAGATGAACGGTCATCAAGTAATTCAAATGATGAATTTAAAAGATATTTATTTCTTGTTAATTCGTTGCATCATATTTATCTTGTATCAGCTAATGAAAATATTAAATTTGAACATTCGTCCAAAGTTGGTTATTTGACTGTTGAAATGCTTGATAAGAGACGTGCACTCTGTGTTGTAGCCGAACGAAATACAAATTATGTAGAATGTTGGGATGTAGTAAGAAAACGATTATTTCATCGATTTGAGTTTCCTAGAGTGAAAATCAAATATGTTCTTTGTGTTCAAGTTTATTCGATGATTATTATTGTTCTTCAAGATGGCATCATTCAATTTTATTCAGTTACTGATTGGACGAAATCATCGTTTGTTCATCGAGGTTCAGTTCATGCTGGAATTCATCTTGAACTAGTCGCAGTTACTGGTGGAATGTTAATTCATACTTTTAATGCAAATATTTCTATTGATTTCGCTCTAATTAGTTTAAAACAGTTCCATAAGACAGAGCAAATCTTATCCGATAAACAAGTATTTAAAACATTAGTTGCATTTGATCCTCCAATGGAACCGAAACCAATCAAAAGTATCATATTACCCGATACAGAGTCAATGTCATTCGATGATATTCAGTCGAATTTTCCCTTTTTTATGACTAAGACAAGAGATGCCATATTTATCGTTCATAAATGTAATAATAAGGACATATCTTATATACGTATTAATGGTCGATTTGATATTGTGTCAATGCATGCAAAAAATTCACACACTTTATATACAGCTCGTGGTGGTATTGTCGAACTTCACAAATGGGCTTGTATTGAAAGCATAGATTGTAACAGCAGAAATCACAAATATCAATTGTATGTTTCTATCGATATCAGTTCATCACCAATAACTTCAATTAAAGCTAAAGCTGGCAGTGGTAAATATTTTTGATTTTAAAACGTAGTCTAAAGAATGCATTGGAGTATGTCGAGTAGAAATTTTCAGTTTCCCAAAATTACGGATAATGAGAAACTTTGATCGTCTATGCTCTAAAGTCTTAGGTTACTATCTTCAGAATAGTTGGAAATCAGCTTTTAGCCATAGGTTTTAGGAACTTTTAAAACGTGATGAAGTCGAATATATCGGTTTGCATTCGAGATTATGCATGACTAAAAATGTAGGAAGCTCTCTTTTGAGTACATGTCGACTCAACATGAACAAACACAAGACTTTTATGAAAGTATTCCACGAAATTTCTCTGACTGTCGTTGCCAAGATCGGTATTCTATGTCATTGATTAACGAACTAAAGCAAACTAAATTTTTCGATGATACGAGTTATTTGTTTGTCTTCTATGTTCGATAGAAATCTATATAGAAGAGTCTATTTTTCAATAATATTGCTTACTAGCTTTTCTGGGATAAACCTTGGAATAATACTAGAATATGCCGTACACATCTATACGTTATCTATAAGGTACCCATGACAATTGGAAAAAGTTAATATTATTTAAAAATCATATGCTTGTGTTTCCGTAGGAAAAAAAGGATGTTTTTATCATTTTTTTGAGATTGTCCAAGTTCTCTTTTGGATTTTTTATTTCTAAAATATATATTACAAATTTTTTGGATATATACACTTTTGTAGAGTTCGATGAGCTCTATCGAACTATATGAACGTTTCTAAAACAACAAAATTGTACTCCGTTTTAGAGTTACTCATTCCTCAATTCTCTATGTCAAAAAATTATAATATTTCTGAAAATATCATAAGATTAACATGAAAATGTTTTCATAGTCTTTACTATTTAATACCAATGAGTCTCGTTTTCAACACATTTTCATTTGATATAAAGTAGTTATGTATTTTATTTGAAATTATAGTGTTGTCTCGTACGAAAAAATTCTTGGCAACTAAGTACATGTATAAGATACTAAAATATATTGCCAGAGAATATTTTTTTAAAACCAAATGTTTAAAGAATGTTTCATTGAAACTACAAAATATTATGTCGCGAAAATATTTGTATATATTGATACTGTTGTATACACAGATATTTAAAACAAACTAATGATGTTGAGTATAATCTAAAATGTAAAGGAAAGATATTACGATGTACAAGAAAAAAACAAACTATTCTGAGAGATAAATGAAAAATACAACCATCAAATACTTTTTCTTCATGTTAGTAACAATCGTCTCATTTAGACGATTACAAATGATCTGAAAAGATATCATGTCAGGCCAAGCGCATATAGTCTATTTCAATAATTGTATTTTTTTCTATTCTATATAAACTTTTTTATTTACTTGACACAGAACGTTCTTGTTCTGTCAAAATCAATATTGTGCATGTATGTTAAAATTATTGTATAGATCGAAAAGGCAGGTTTTGTCACATAACATGCTGTCGGATTCTATTGGATCCGGCTACATCTTATTATCGGATATTGCCGGATTCTTCAGTCAGAATCCAACGAAATTCGACGTCGGAAATCATCGAATATTGACGGTTAATGATGGTATCCGATAATCGGAATCCGATCGGATCCAATACGGTAAATTTGAGCTGTGTTTTTACTCTATATCGTGCTGAAAGCTAATCTAAATCGCTGAAGAGCTAGCACTCGGGTACCCCTGTTATAAAACCATTTTTTTATTGAACTGCTTTTAGTCAAAATATAATTTGTTTAAATGAAAATAAAACTTGAATTGAAGAAACTTGCTTTGCATAGAGAATGAAATGACAAATGGATCTATGTGTAGAGCAGTTGCACAATGCGTAATTTCTTTGTAATCGTTATTATATATGTGAAGTAGAAAATTTATTTCACATATTCCTTACAAAAGAACAAGTTTTGAACATGAATGAACTGCAAAAAGTTCTTATTATTTGATAGGTTATGCAATTAATCAACGTAAATGAATTTACAAAGTTGCTATCTTTTACATTTTAATGGATGATAAAGCCATAAGAAAGAATAGGATGAAATGAGACCGAAATGACTATTTATGACCTTTGCTTGCAATCGTTCTTCGAATTGTAAATCTTATATGCAATGATCGGAATATAAATGAGACAGATTGGACTAGTTATACGAGAATCAATATGACACTTTATTAAAAAAAAACGAATGACTATAGTTCATTGCTCATATGAATTATGAATACCTTTTATAACTAATATGTACGTGTTGAGATACTTGCTCAAAGTATTCCGTTGTAAACTGCATAAACTATGACAGAAATTTTCAATTACTATTAATACTATCCAATTGCGTTTCGATTTTTGATTCTTTAGACTTTCTTTTAAATTACTTTGCATAGACACTTGAATTTATCATTGATCAAGAACATGTTCGATTTTATTTTCTTGTATCCTTTTAGCGTCATTATTCGTATGTGCATTGGAGAGCGGAGTCTTTCAAGTATATTATGCATCACAGGCACGAGAAGCATTCCAGAACATGCCTTCGTTTCCACGTACAAATGAAGTTATACGAACTGTTCAACTGCTTAATAAGACTGCGATTACTCTTGACTGTACACAACGGTAATTACACCTTGGTTTTCTATTTGAATTCTGTTTGGATAGTATGAAAACAAAAAGAATATCATCAATAGTTTTAATTTTCTGAAGAGTAGTTCACGAGTAGGTTCGATTTACATTGTGCTACAATATTGAGTTGAAAAAAATTTTACTTCGAAAATTAAAATAAGAAATCATGATTAGGTTTCGAATAATTTGAAAGTATTGTGTCAATCTGTATAGTAATGAGATTTTATCAAAATGAAGCGGTATATCTCTAGAAAATGTCGATATTTGACTAAACGCATTAATCATTATATTACAAAAAACTTTTTTCTAGCGAACTTGCATCATGGTCATATCAATATGCACCATCCATTCACTCTACTCGTTCGTTTCTCGACGATGTAACTATAAACGAGTTTGCCATTGCGTCTAATAATTTAAATTCAGAGATGATATTTGTACTCATTCTAACAACTAATCATTGGATTGAAATCTATTCCGCTAAATCACTTAACGATGAAGCTCTTTATAGTCTTCATCTTCGTTCTCCAGCACGAGTTCATTCGACAATTAATGGAAATTTTTATGTTTTAACATGCAATGGTATCGTTTATTCTATCGCTCAACAAATTAATTCGGACAATGAATTTAATTTCAATCAGAAAACCAATTATCAATTAAAAATTTCATGTTCAATGATGCTAAGTTCTGTCTTAACTCTCAATGGACAAGAAAGTTTTGTTGTTTTTGCTGACAATGGGCAATCAATGGCGATTTGTACTATGGAACGAGTTATCTATATTGGCGTCGATGTTTCACCTTACATTTCATCATCATCATCATTGAAATCAATCACTAGTGAAAAAACACAAAATTTATTGTTATTATATTTCAATAATAAAACTCTCATCTCGTGTCAAGTAAAACTTAATGAATCAAATGAGAAAGGCTCACTTCAGTTTACTCCATTCGATGAAGCTGATAAATTTTGTCTACAAAATAATTGCCTTGCTACGTACAATAATGGGAAAGCTCAACTTAATTTACATGACATTCGTTCATGTACATGCTATGAACCGATTCAACTCGATAATGAATGTCAATACTTATGTTTCAATGAATCAGCAACTTATGTTTTCGCATTA